CCAACGTGTTCTGATTGCACTGAATTATCATCTGTGCCTGGATGTGCGAGGCACAGCAGCTGCTGGGTTAGACTGTAATTTCCATTATTTTAGATAAATACAGTGCAAACATTGATCTGACATTTTGATTGGTTTCCTGAGAGCAGAATTCTCATTTTTTTCCCCCAAACCCATCTGCCAGGGCTGCAGATCAGGACCCCGCACATCAAAGCACAAGAAAAATCAGAAAACTTTGCCAAAGAATGCAATGCAAACATCTCCCCCAAAAGGATTTCATCCTTTTGTCTGGATTTATCCTCAGACCTGGCCCATACAGGGCCTTGGCCACACAAATTCTTTGGAGTTTTCCCACCGATAGGAGGAGAAGAAACCTCGGTGGAGAAGAAAATGCAGAAAATGCTCCCCATGGAGCCCACCCAGAGGGAACACTTTCCCTTTGCTGTCCTTTAATGATAGCTTGGACTGCTGACACTGGAATCTTTCTGTGTGTGCTGAACTCCAGAGCCTGGAGTTGCAGGGCCACAGCCAAAAGTCAGAATTCAGGCTCCTCCCTGTTCACARGGAGGCTGAAAAGTTCTTTTATTTCCCATTTCACTGGTGGGAGTCGCAGTAAAAGGGATCATGGAACAGTGGGGGGGACAAGAAAGACATTTGTGCCTCCCTTTCCAGCTGCTCTTATCACTAAAATGAATGAGGCTTTATCTTTACCCGATTTCTTTAGTAAATAAAGCCCCCTTCACCACAAAGCAGCCGTGGCATAACTGCTGAGCAGAACAAAAATAAATGGCACTTCAGCTATGATCTTATGTGGGGTAAAAATCCACCATAATGGTGTTTGTCATCCAGTAGGGATTGCTTTGGAAGAGGCTACACCTACACTCTGTTTTCCCTGGAGAGGGGAAGATGGATATCTGGCTGCCTGGGGATGAACCAGATTGTAGGGAAGCATTTCCAGAATAATTTATCTGTTTGATAAACTCCCAAATCTCCTCCCTAGCAATGAAACCTTTCAGCTTTTGCCAAGGCTGCCCCAGTTTCGTGTCAGTAGCACACTGCAAARAGACTCAGGAAGGCTCAGGTGATGATTAAAGCAAAGGCAGGAGGAGTAAATCACTGTGAGTACAGCAGATCCCCAAGAAAGCCGGGCATTCACTTGGAAAATGAAAGGAATTCTCAGGTCAGCTCGACACTCAAACTTTTCCAGCCTCTCATCCAAGTCCAAGGGGAATTAGTGCTGACAGCAGGGCTTGGCTGAGGACAGAGACACGAGACTCAGCTGTTTGGGGATTTATTTCTGCTCAAAAGCATCAAATGCCCTCCGGGTCCCCTCCCCTCTGCCAGCCTGGCAGCAATTTCACAGATTTGGGGAGCCTGAAGTCGTCAGCTCCCAGTTTGGATTGCATTTCCTTCTCCTCCCTACCAAATACTGCYTTAGGTTAACCAAAGGCTAGGTTTTCCTTGCTGAAAAGGAATGCTTTCACCATTATTTATTGCATTTTAAGTGCTAAGATTCAGCTCTGCAGCTTTGAAAAAAAACKGCTTTATCCAGAATATCAAACCACATCTGTCATGAGCCCAATCATCTTTTCATATCCCATTTCATCTCATGAACATTTCATGAAATAAGTGCAAGGGATGTTTAATTCCCCAGCACTAATATGAGAAAATAACACTCTTGGAASAGTTAATTATTAAGGCACCGTAAAAATTAAAATAACCAGCTGATTAGAGTGGAAGATTTGCATTCCATTGCCCTGGATATGGCAGGACAATTTCTCCAAGAGACAGGAAACCCATAAAGCCYGTAGGATTCCAGAGAGGAGCACAGGAAAAAGCCCTGACCTGACTCCTGCCCAACTCTGCAACAGCAGGGTGAAGAAAAAAGAAATGAATAGGCCAAAAGCAGCTGAAAATATTAAACAGAAGTGCAGAGAAGAGACTGCTGCCACAGCACATTTTCCCAAACCCCATGGGAAAGGCAGGCTCCTCGGAGGACCTGTTAAATCAGATCCACGAAAAGACAGGGAAGAGGGGTCAGAGGGAAGGGACACAAAGATTGAGCACAACATTTGGGGATGACTGCACAGAGCCTGCAGAGATCCTGGGGCAAACCAGGGGTGGGAAAAAGTCACGTTCCCATGGGAAATCACAATTAAATCCTTCATTCCTTTGGAGAAGCCACCCAAGAAGGAAGCAAGAGACAAAGCCACTTTCAAAAATAACAGGCAAATCCCCAAGACTGARGACAAAAATAAAAGGGAATTTAAGAGGAGAGGAAAAACTCCTAAAACAAGGGCTGGGAGAAGTGTGGGCTGGTTCTCAGTGTGGCTCTCAAAAAGCTGCTGCTTCCCCCTTTCTGTGCTTGCAAAAGCTCAAGCACCCAGGGATTTCCCTCCCTCAGAATTCAAGTGCAGCACCCACTGCCAGTGGAAAACCAGGAGCCACAAGAGTTAATCCAAGGAATTCTCCCTTCCTCTTCCCCCTGTGCCACTGCATTATTTCTTCCATGCTTTATGGGAATGGCACCAACCCTAAAGGGACGACTCCTGACACCCCATTATTAAATTTCTAAAAATGAGAATATCTGTGTATTCACAGAAGAGCCTCCAACCTGGAGTCATCTGAGTTCTCCCCAGGATTTTCCTGYCCTAATGCAGACCCCAAACCTGCTGCCCCTGTAGCTGACAGGCTCAGCCAGAGGAAACATTTGGGGTCAGAGTGGGGTATCCCATTGATCCTCATGGGTGTGAGGCAGCACCCATGCACAACTCTGACCTGTCACCCTGTCAAGAGATGGATCTCTCCCAAACACACCTCTCCAGGCTGCCACATTTTAAAGTGCTTCCAAAAAATTCAGGAATGTTATGAAGTCAGCAAATGCAAACCTGCAAAACTAGCACTCGGAAAATGTTCAAGTTTTTTCCCCTTAAAGAAAACAGAATGGAGGTGGCAGACTCATTTTAGAGGCAGGATATGATTGATTAATAAGAACTTTTCTTGGCTCCAAAAAACCCTTCAATTTGAAGATAAACAATCTGTGGAACCCCTCTCAGAGCAGCAAACTTTCTCCCAGGAAGGGGAATATATCCAATAAATAAGTTTATTCTCCTCTGACAGTTGTTTTTCCTGCAAAGCAGTTTAAGGCACAGCATCACTCACATCCCTYCTTTCAGCCCAGCCTGGAGGAACATTCCTGCTGGAGAGACAGGGCTGAAATCACAGCACAGGCAGGGTGGAGCCACAGAAATGAAATGTTTTAGGGACTGGGACATGGTGGGGCAGCGTCTGAAAGCTGAACTGGGGGCTCTGATATCCCTAAAAGTGGGAATTTGGCCAGCAAGACACAGACTGTGGTTAAAGTCACTCCAGAACTCACACAAAAAGCTGACTGAAGTTAGTGAARGCAAAGAAGCTCCAAATTCAGTGTTCTGCTTGCTGAGAAATTTCAGCTCCTGACTCAAAGCTCTGGTTTCTCTCACTAGCAGCTCAAAGGGCAAGAGCCCAAGTGAAGAAAAAAAAAAGGAACATTAATGGCAGGCAGACAGGATTTATTTGATTTTTGAGAAAACACCTCAGCAAATCTCCAAATGGGTCTCCCCAGTAGAGTTTGGTAAAGAGCAGAGTTTTTATTTGGGTTTATGGTGTCAATAATGGAGGACACACAGAATAATGAACCCAAATGAGCTCTCCTMCCCACAACCCACCCCATCTGATAATGTCCTCTCCCATTTCCATGACTTCAGCATCCCTCATTGCATTAGGTCTAAACATAGACTAGGAGCTCGTCCTAATTGGGTTTGCARAGCATTATGCAGATTTAGGGAGCAATCAAAATCATCTGAAATCAAGTTACAGGGCCAAGGGAAGAGCCAAGTCATGCCCTCACACACATAGGGCTGCCAGGAGAGTACAGAAAAGTTGAAATCCCCCAAAGACACAGAATTTCTCTTTGATGCACATTTGTTGCATGCTCATCACCACATGGCCATCTGACAAATAATAACCATAAATATAATGAAATCTCCATAAATAGAAATAATTATCATAAATATAATAAAATCTCAATAAATATAACTAAATCTATCAGCAACAAAGGGTTATCTGTGCTCAATACCCCAAGTTGTGGTGGAAACGGTTCTGCCCTAAATCCCCCCTAAAAATCCTCTCCAGAGAATGGGAAGAAGCTGAGCAGGAGATCAGTACACCCTGATTTCAATGTTCTGTTCTTATGGGACTTTTTGAAGGCACAGCACTGAACACAACATCCCAGAAACAGCCAGGCAGTAAAAACCCCACGAGCAAACCTCTGGAGAGGGGGAATTTGGGAAGCAAGCACAGAACTGCATAGTGCAAATCCTCYCCATTCCCACTGCAAAGAAAATACSATTCAAGGATTATTCTGAASAAGTTTTTTATCACCAACAGAASGGATTCTACATCTCATCAAAGCAGTCTCTGTGTTCAGAGGACTGAAAACCCCAAATCTTTCCASGCAATGCTGGAGGTGGAAACACAGAATTTACTTTGACACCCCTCCTTGACAGAAAAACCATTTTAATGCGCAAAATTTAAAACTGTGAAATGCCAGAGGAATGAAACCTGGGCCTYGAGAAAGGACTTACCCTTAAAAGGACAGAAGCTCCAAGTTGTTTTGGGAAAGCAGTGAAGAGCATTTGAAGCTATACAGCATGAGGAATTTGGCAGGAAAGCTTGTTTAAGGGATGGCTTWCTGCCTTGCAAAGGTTTTTGTTGAAAAGAACAATTTCAGATATAAAGATATAGATGGACAAGTGAAAAACCTCCTCTCCCCTTGGGTGTTACCTGGCCAAAATGTCTGTGAGCCCACCAGACAGTTGTGGGGAGGAGCCAGAAGAATTGGACAAACACGGTTTTTCAGCAACCATATTGAGAAAACCTCTCTTAGAAACCATTTTTTCATGAAAATTTTTGTCTTTAAGTGTTGAAAAAATAGGAATAAATCAGATCTCTTCCAAGCCTACCTTCCATGACATAGACCAGGGAACCCACATCTCCCTCCTTGATGATGCAGCTGTCCTTGCCATACTCCACGGGGTACATACAATCCACAATCTCCTGGATCTGCGACAATTCCAGGTTCTTCATGAAGTCATTGTCAAGGATCGCTTCCTTTATTAGCTCCTTGGACCTGGGGCACAAATAAATTTTTTAAAAATCAGTATTTTCCCCTAAAAATGTGCAGACACACAAAGAAAAATATTACAGATGTGAAATCGCAATTATTTCTCGTAAATACGTTCAAGCATGGAAATAAAAAGATTCCATGGGGTTGCAAAATTCTCTTTTAGCTACACGTTTCACATTTACAATAACAGGGCTACTTGGAATATCTTCCTTACACAAACTGAAAGGAAGCACAAACAAGAAGGCAAAGGATTTATTACTTGGTTTATTATATTTTCTATTAGTTACACAAACTGGAGCACACCAGAGTGTGACACTGAGCCAATTCCCTSGGTATTTATGTTACAATCACTACAGGATTTGGGAAAAGGTTCCTAAAACCACTGGTGCAGGTGGACARATGAGAATGCTCCACCTCGAGCCAGTCCAAAACAAAACCCCCAGAACCCTCCAGGCTGGAGAGAGCTCCTCAGCCCCTCATCCCTCCTGTTCCAGCTCCACTCCTGGGGCTGAGCCGCTCACAGCCACAGGTCCCTGCAGAGCTGAAGCAGTCACAAGGGGATGGGATGAAATGGGGTTTGCCAAGGAAAACACTGGAATGGGWCCTGTCTTCTGGAAAAAGACCCAAACTGGGCTCTCGGGAGATCCAAAGCAGCCAAACCCTGGAGATGGCATGGTCCTGGTGCAGGGTCAGAGGCAGCTCAGGGTCACA